CCTGTTTACCCCAAAACCAGACGAGCTATAAGATTCCACGCTCCCCTCTGCATGCATATGCATGGCGGCGTGCACGGCCGGTGCCCGCAGCGCCCTCATGCGACGGCGTTGTGCGGCATAACCCGCCCATCTGTACATCTTGAACGACGCTTTCTGTTTCGCGCTAGCTTGCGTATGTGCACCTTATTGCTACACCCCGCCCCCTTGTTCTTCTCGTCTCGGGCTTCGTATGGCCTTTCCAGTCGCTGCGCTTCTGGCGGATGTCTGGAACGTGCGCCGAGCGCCTGACTTCACACCTTGCATGCGCGCTGCGGTCTTTTACGCTTTTTTCTCCACAAGCCGGGCTTTTCGCGGGAAGCCCGCCTTTTGTATTCGGCTGCGTACTAGAATGCGCGAGGATATGCACAGGTTGAGGTCTCGGTCGTAGCCCGCACCGCTTGACCTCTGCACGATGCCGAGGTGCAACGAGACTGATCGAAAAGGGGCATAGGGTGAAGACGAGCATGCTGCGCACGGATGCCACAGAGTTGCACGTTATATGCAGAATAGTTTCCCATTCTTTCACTCGGGTACAACATATGAATACAACTGCAAAAGTCACGGTTGGTGGTTTCCGAAATGTCGGCCAACACAGCCAATCAGACGGCTTGGTGCTCGAAGTTAAAACGAAGTTTGAGGCTTGAAGTACGGATAACATAGTCGCACAAGGAATGCCGTTAGATCAACGTCTCATGACCCTAACGAAGCCATCTCTGTATTGAAGCGTCAATTGATAACGTGTCGACATTCAATGTTGTCTCGTTACTTCAGGCTGAAAACAAGTGGCACAGGCTCATTTATCGAGTCAAGTTCAGATCCCGACAAAACGGCTTAGTTGTCATTGTTATGCACACTCTTCTATCCTCCACTAAGCCAAAAAACAAAAGTAGCGACAAAAACACTCATGAAAGTGTTGTGGGTATCGCACAAGCACAGCTTACGCAGTGTCGGAAGAACAGTCGGTTGGTCCCACATAGTTAGACTCAACCGGAGTTTTATAGTACTGGTATCGCTGCTGCGTTTAACGTGCATTGACGATGCCAGGGTTCTATAGTCCGTATTTCCATCACGCCACTTCGTCCCTGAGCCGTCACCACTGTATACTGCTATACCAAACGAACCATTCGCGAGCGAGACATCTATTATGGTAATCATCGCCACCTCTATCAGGCAGTCAGGTCAGTCGCTGGCGCGGCGCGCATACACGCGGACGCACATGGCGATCCACGCTCGATCCCGCGGGAGCGCGCGCGCACGAGATCGTTTACATGGGAGCGCGCGAAACGTCTCGCACCTCGCTGTGTTCCTTCGCATGCGCAAACGCTTCGCATGGAGCAGCTGCGAACCCTTGCGAAACGGGGCAGTATACAAAGAAGAAGGGTCGCAGTCGGGCTGCTATCACACCGCCTCTCCGAACGCGCGATCATGCAGTGCCTTGCCTCTTGGCGGCGTTCCCGGTGCCATACATGTACTCACGATCAGACGCCTTCTCCTTGTTATTAACGATGCCGGACACAAATTACAATGCGCCCGAGAGCGAGGAATTTGGTGCTTTTTATCACCAACTCGATCCGCCAGTTAATTAGGGTGTCCGTGTGCATGCTATATGGGCCACCGCTTCACCGGTATGTATGCTTGCCCTCGCTTTGTAGCGTGCTCGCACGCTATAAAGCGAGGGCAAGCAATGCTCACAAAGAGCCGAGGAGGCCGATCTTGTTACATACGCACAGCACAGGTATACTCTTTACAGCAAAGCACGACCAATCAGAGTCGTCGTGTCCCGAGGGGTTCGGAATAATTTATGCTCGCTCCTGAGTTCTCCAAAGGACTAAAGTATCAAGTTTACAATATAGCGTAGTTTCTCTCTCTCTCTTCTTTCGGTCTTTCCGTTTCGTCGTATTCGCAAAAGCTTATTACACCCCTGTCTCCCACAGCTGAAGCGAGCCTACGAGATCAATATCTGCAACTGATCGCAAGCACCGCCGCATGCGGCTGCCTTATTAAATGCATATACAGGTGCTGTGCGAAAGTCTCGCATAGGCGTTGAGCCTCGGATCCGCTTTGCGCAGCGCCACTTTAGTGACAGCATCTGTGTTTCTCAGAAGCCAAGCTCGCGTAAACATGCGTTAAAAACTAAAATAAGGAACAGCGCTTATTGTATGCTGGGCCAAGAAACTACGCTCGTGGGGTGCGGCGAGACATATGGCGTGCGACGTAAACGGGTAACTGCGGTTGTCAATAGGGAGTTTTAGCTTGTACGTATACTTCTTTACGTTAACGTGTTACCGGATACCGTTTCGCGTTTACCGTCTTACCGGAACGGATATCTTTCAACGTGTTAGCTCCTCATACGTAAATTTTCACGTACGTACGTAAACGCGTATACGTTTACGTTTTCGCAAACCATAAATGGTGATGCTAACTGCATATAAACTGCATTCACCTTACATATGAATAAATCACCATTGTGGTGAAATCACGAGACGTTATTTTATTGCGTACAGCATCCTCATATGCGCGAAAAAGTGAAAAATACAAGGCTAATGCAACGATGGTGTCGACATCTTGTGACACTTCGTGCAACCACATTCATGAACACGTTCTTACGCGTAATGTTTTTGAGGTGAAAATGATTAAAAAGGTAACTCATTTGTAATAACGGCGCTGCGCGTTTTTTGCATCAGACGTACAATGCTCAATGTTTCTGCAATAACGATTTTGTGATTACCTGGTTCACTATCGCCCCGCTAGATGGCACCACCTATCCAGCTTCTCTAGAATTCGCACGTTTACGGCATTTATGTTCTAGACCATTCTAGCTTTGGTAATCCGGCTGAAACAATGTAATGGCCATTGGCGCTCGCACTTCAGCTACTTCTGCTTATAGCAACTCGACGGTTCGAGTCCCCGCAATGCGCATACCACGAGTTTCTACGAACGAAGGCGTATTTGCGAGATAAGGTTGTAAACGTAAAGTCTATAAGGCAGGAAACGTAAACTTTTAAACCAGATCCGGAGGGAAACGTAAAGGTTTACGTTCCGTAAAGACCCGCGCATGCGCAGATTCTATCCGGTATCCGGTAACACGGTAACGTAAAGAAGTGTACGTACAAGCTAAAACTCCCTATTAATGCCAGGCTGAGTGGCGCCACCAACAAATTACTGATTTCACGCGCATTTTCGAACGACTTAGCAGACCATTCGAAGCGGTCGAATGCGGCTTCCAGTGTAGAAAGAAATTATGCGCATTGCTATACGGTGCGAAGGTATATAGGGTTCGCTCACAACTCAGTATATAGCCTGCAGAAGTTGCACACAAAGACGAACAAGCAGAGATAATGACAATAAATCAGACAACGAGTCAGTCGTGAAGGAAGCGTTATACAAAGTAAGCGGCGGAAAAAACATGGCTTCGAGCTGAGTGAGTGTGTAACTAAGCTTTCATACGAAAGGGTACGCCACCACAAGCTGACGGCCACGGCTTTATACTATGCAGCCGTGAATGCGCGGTAGCAAGCTCCTGTCCGTATCTTCACCATCTGAAGATCATGTGTATACATTTTCATAGTACAATTGCGCAGAAGTATAGATCGTCAATGAGTAAAGTCTCCTATACTTTTCCTCCAATAAAGCATGACACTCTTTGCTTATCGAAACACCCCGGCACCTTCAAGACATGAGATTTGCAAGAGTACCCCTCCCCTTAGGCAACCTGGAAAAACGAGCGACCTTACATGTATGCCTAACGCCCGCCCGCCAGGCATGTAATCTCCACTTACTGCGAAGTTCAATAATCGAGGCTTACTTTTTACTCTCAAGGCTATAATACCGCGCAGAGGCTATTCCCACGATCTCAGGGCCCCATGAGCAATTAATAGGAGCGCGCCGCTTCGTCACCTGTCTTTACATTTGTATAGCGCCTCGACCGATTTCGTCTATAGCACCGAGGCGTGAGACTTCAAAAGCCCTTTGCCTCGAAGAGGACGGCCGGCAGCTCAGATCAGCGTAGACATGCGAAGAAAGTATTACCTGCGAAGCGAAGGACGAAAAAAAAAACTAAAACAAATAAATCAGACGAGAGGCCTTTAAGGAACCGCAAGAACGAGGTCGCATTCGTGATTCGCGATCGTCACTCATCAATCAGAATCGATCATCATCGCGCGTACGCCGTATACCGGTTAGGAGGGTGTACACGGTAAAACGTCTTCCGGTCGCGTAGCGTATATATACGGCCATAGATCGGGGCAAGACGATAATAATAACGATAATATACCAAAGAAGCAACCAATGTTACTACGGCCACTGTTTCGTGAAGGGAAGAAAGGGACAGGATACGGCTGCAAGAGCATGTAATTGGCACGTCCGTATTCTGCGCTGAGCGGAAGACGGAAATCCATCAGCGATATACATCAACGAAAGACCGGAAGAAAAGCGAATTTGCCGGTAGATGCTGCTGTAGAACTGTTTTTTCATTCTTTTCTTCTTTTCTTTTGAGCAGCGAAACATTCAGTTCTACGTTTACTACAGCATTCTATTTCATACTTCTGTCCCTGTGTCCGGAAAAAAAAAACACCATTTATGCGAAGGCCGAGATACAGGAGAGCACTTTATGATTGTTAAGATTCCCTAGTTATTTGGACTAGTTAAAATGTAAGCTGCTCGCAACCTAGAAACGCGCAATATGTATGACGAGTTCGCATCTGTAACGTATGAGTTCGAATCTAACTAACAATTTCGTAGAGATATTTTGTAAATAAGCCTGCCTGGGATGCTGTATTACGGCGAAATGAAGCGGTCAATCGGAGTGAACTGATGTGTGTAAAGCTCTTGTTCACCTTGCCTAGCAGTTGTGCTAAGCAGCTGGTGCTCTGAGCACACACACAAAAAAGGAGTAACGCGTTCCTTATGGCTAGTGTACTGTACCCGAATGATAAGTATGAACAAAAGTTAGAATCACTTACCGGAGGAAAAGTGATGTAGAGGCACATGCTTGGTTATGGACTCGACCACATCGTGCAGTCCGTACATGCTCAGCAGTTCCTTCATCGTGTTTTCCGCGTAGTCCTTCATAAGGCTAGCATCAGCGGCTCGGTGCTGTTGCTGATGTTGAACTGGAGGTGGTTGCTGCTGCAGCTGCTGTGGTTGCGGTGGGTGCGACTGTTGTTGATGCTGATGAGGCGGCAACTGCTGCTGCGGATGGTGATGGTGATGATGATGGTGTAGGTGATGCTGCCGTGAGCCGCCCATAAAAGGCGAGGAACCACCGGCCGCGGTCACAGGCGGTTCGTTACAGGGCGCCTGCTGTCGCAAGGGAGACGGCAATGACGATCTGCCGTCCTCCACAACGGAAGTCGGCACGTCATCGTCATCGTCCTCGTTCCTGCGGCTACCACCAGCACCGCTACCACTCCCACCACTGAGGTCCACCACGGCCTCTGTAAAGCTGGAGAGCCTCGGCAAGGCCAGGCCTCCGCCCTCCGCGGACACCGCGCTACTGTTGAACAGAACCCGTTTGACGGGCTGCTGCAACTTTCGGCGCATCGAGCCACAGTCACTTAGGTCCAGGGGTCCTTCCTCACGAACTGCGCTGGAAACTAAACCTTCCGAACGGGTCGTCAGCACTGGTGGAGGAGGCGTCGTCACTGAGGACGTGGCGGCTTCCTTGAAGCACACCGATGGCGACAGGGCACCGTCATCGTCTTCGTCGTCACCGTCTTGAGCGGCATCCGGCGCCGAGGCCAGCATCAGTGGGGGCCGAGTCTGTACGCCTTGCTCAGCGTCCTCCCGCTCATCCTCGTCGTCGTCCTCTTCCTCATCTTCGTCAGAGTCGGCGAATACGGCGGCGGCGATGTTCTTTGGCTGGAAGTTCTTCCTCTTGTTGCGCATGCGTCCGTCCAAGGCACTCTCAGTGTCCGGCCAGGGACAAGGCACTTCGCTGAAGGCGGCACCCGTGGGCATCGAGGAGGCGGCGGCGGCTGTGCTGACGGCAACCAGGGCAGGTTCCTGCGGAACGTCGTCGTCAGCTTCGTTGTCGTCCGAATTGTCGTCGGTTAAGGCCCCGTTCAAGGCAGCTTGCGGCCTCTCGTCGTCGAGGTCGTCCTCTTCGGTCGGGTCCCGGAGAGGAGGGGGCGGCGCCCGCGGTGAGCAGAGGTCGTCGGGCGCCTCGTCGGCGCAGGCGTCGTCTCCGCCCGCTGCCATGGGGACAGCCAGGTCTTCCGGGTCCGAGCTGCGGGCGAGTTTCTCGCAGATGGCGTTCAGCTTGAAGGCACTGCTGGGCGGCCGGCAGGCGGCTTCCGACGTCATGTCCGCCGTCTGGCCAGCGCGTCACTTGCTGTCGGCCCTGCACAAGCAAGAAAAGAAGAGAAAATATTAAGAACACTGGTCCTGTCAGCAGCTGTTTTATACGAGCTCCGTGCATAGCGAAACAAGAATGGCCGTCATGCGGGGCAGGTTGTTTTTGAGGTGCTGAACGGGTACATAACGACAGCGCAACTGGTTGACTAGATGCATACGCCATACATACAGGCTCGATATTTGCTCCTGTCACCTGTATGCATACACGAGGCTTGACCGAGCCCGCGACATGGGGCCAGCACAGGCTTCTTTTTTTTTTTTATCGAACCTTTGCCTCGAGAGTGAGTTATACAAACGTACACTCTAAGCCGAAATTCGGCAAAGTTGGACTAACTGCAGTCGTTAAACCAATGGACGAACGGTTCGTCCAACAGGGACTAAATGTGGGACAATGCGTGTCTTGCGCAAACGCCCGGCAATGAAGGGACCAACGGGGAGGGCAACTGCGCCGCGATCGCCTCCTGTCGATGCTGCACTGCAATGCTCGGCGTGGTCGGCGATCATGAAAACAAGTTAAATAGGCTATACGCCACTGTGAAAGTGAAGCACTATGAAACGAATAGAAGATGTTATGAGAGGAAAGTAGTACAACACGCTGTCAGTGCACACAGCAAGTGCCCTCGCGTTTCCACCATGCCGGCACGGGCGAGCCGAAGCCAAGTGAAAGTCTCCGCAAACGCGGGCAATGCCGTGAACTCGCTTTAATGTGCTGAATAAGTTCGAACTACGGTGAACACTGACAATGCTAAGAAAGGTAAGCTGTTCATCAGCGGTCGTCTACCCACACAGTGACCACAAGTTCAAAGCGATATATAGGAAAAGTAGGCTTCGTACGTCATCGGTATCAAGCGGGCTGCCGGTGTGAGTGCATTGCCGGCACAAGCGAAGGAAACGTCGCGTACAAGTTCACAAGAATAGTAGCTCAGGCAAACTTACGTCTTTTTATCCATGCGACAATCGTTATCAAAAATCCAGCGTGTAGGCGATCGCGGATACGACTAATCGTGCGGCCAGCGGTACACAGGTTGTGCCTTACCAGCACGATGAAAGAACCGTGCCTGCGAACGGTCTCGTCGCTGTAAGTATACAGATATCTACATCACTCCGTAAGACACTGCGAACATGGGGCACTTACCTATTGTTCATTTGTGACTATAAAATAACGACGACGGAAATTTCACGCGAGCCGCATGTTGCGATCGCCGGCGGTCATTTAGCCGTACTCGTCGTAAGCCTAGCGACGCCGTCGGCAAGCCGACACGGTATGGCATCGGCGGGGCGCCTGCGGCTGCTTCGCCGGCTTTCCCGCACAAGCGCCGCTGCTATGTTTGTGTTTGCAGACTCGTGCGCCAGCACTGCGAACGCTGGTTCGGCCGACATGATCGAATACCAGCTGATAATTCGTATTCTCGGGCTGGAGGGATGTTGAAGATTAGATGGATTCATATTAAAAGATCGATGCGCATCGGTGCTACGAATAAGCCCATGTAAATTTTCGCGTTACGGTGTCAATATTTATTGTTTTCTTAAGCCGAGTAAAAGTCGCCCACTGGCACTAGATGGGAGGTCAACATACTGTGCTATATATACCCGAGAGTCTGTTCTCTGTAGCACAGTGTGGGCCGTCAGTGTTTGCGATGTTTTACTTTGAAATAATAGTGTGTGTGTGTGTGTGTGTGTGTGTGTGTGTGTGTGTGTGGTGCATGAATAATACTATGATCTTCAGTGCTGATTAAATTGGAATAAACATAAAATATACTGCACAAACGCAGTGTTGCCATTTTTTTTTTCCATTGGTTCAGACGGTTCAACTGTTAGTCCCACTGGAGCATTCGACTGGGCCAACATTTAAACCAAGTGGAGTAAGCGCTTGGGGTAACAGTTGAGCCCTTGCAGTTACTCCCGCAGTTAGTCCAAAATTGGTTCAAAATCTGTGGCAGCGCATTTAGACCCCTAAAGGACCAATGGCATACCCCACTTTAGTCTTTTTCGGCTTAGAGTGTACGTGACTCATCTCCTTCTTTGTGCTTTTTCCTGCTGCACGAGCATCGAACGGGCAAGAAGACAACGCTTGTCCACACCAATCCCTGGCTTCGCCCACAATGTGATGATAAGGACACTGCCTCTCGGGACACTGACTCCAAAACGCGTGTCGAACTACTCAAGAGTCTGAGAAATCAACGACTACGCATTCCCAACGCACTCACGCACGAACTGTGATCAGTGTATGAGCACGCGACTGATTATCTGTATACCAATCGCGCTGCACTCAGGCTATTCCAAAAGCTCGGCGTCGTCCACTTTTGGTTATGTCCCACTCGGTTCCGGAAGGGAATTTCAGTGCCGTGAGTCCGTCCGGTTGGTTGTTCCGTAAGGAAACGGACCATCTTTTTTAGAGCACCCAAAACTACACCGCTCGCATTTGCACGGCCAATCCCACGCAAATTGCGGCTCGCCGCAGTCACACGGGGTGAGAGGTCGCCCACGCTCGCCCAATCAGGCTCCCCATGCCAGTTCGCAACCGCCACGCCAGGCCAGCACGCTATACAACCAACGGTACGTATATATCACGCTGAACTCTAAAGCAGTGCGGCGATACACATAAAGGCGATGCGCGCGCAAATATCATTCCTCTCGTAATGTGTCTTCAGTGAGGCGGGGGGGGGGGAGGGATAAGGGGGTGAACGCTGCGCAAGGAAACAAGAATCACACGGGCATCTGGCACCACATCCACCACTGCCACGTCGCTAGGTACCACGGATGCGGTCAGGCTGCAAAGGATCGGAGAGCACATGCATGCAGTCGTGCCCGCATTCTCACGGGACCCGGTTCCAAAGACGTGTGCTCTTTCTCGCTCACTCTCCCTCCCGAAACGTAATCACGACCTTTTGTAATGACACCTCATTAAACAGACTGGAATGACCAACACGTGATTGAGCGTCGACGACGGCATGCAGAACGCGGATGAGGATAAACAAGAGGGAGCCAATACCTCGAACAAAGCCAGCGCTAGCGTTTTACTGATCGTTAGCGTACGTGCCCGAGGCATTCTTTCCTGAGTTTTCTTTTTTTTATATTTACCACATGCCAGGGTTGGAAGAAGACCGACTATTCCTATATTATTCTTTCCCCGAGCAGTTAGGCTACGTTTGTCCCCCGCTGTAGATTACCGGTGAGCCTTAGCAGCGTGTCTAATTCCGCAGCGTTAGCCTAACGAGGCATTACGAGGCACATCGTAAGTGCCCCCGCGTAATTTGCAGCTACTGATTGTCAGTGTGGCCGTTAACGACCGGTTAAAACAATCGGTTAGCTGTGACGACAAGGTATATATATATGACTCCGTTTGAGCAAGCCGCCGGAGCGGGTTCCGATGTATGTGTACGCTGACTGCGTCATCGAACCTTGTATTGTGTACCGTCGTGGAATGTGCGCTAGTCTTTACAAAGGCGGCCGAAAACTAAAAAAAATGTTGTGAAGACATAAGTAGAAGTTGCATGTCAAATATAATCCTGAGTGCCCCTGAAATTATCACTTGTGTTTTCCAAAAACTGAAGGTCAAAAAAAAAAGAGAAAAAAAGGGGGGTGGGTAAGAGGGTTGATGTTTGCGAAGCTTATCCACACTGACTCTTGCTTCACATCAACAAAGTATTCTTTTTTCTACACCGTTATTTGCATGTATGTACTGCAAGACTTACTTACACAAGCAGTCTGGCTATGTTTGTGCAAGTTCTTACGTTTTCTCGCCATTCCTATAGCGAAAAATGAACCTTTATCGCATGGGGATAAGAAAAAAAAAAAGTCAGAAAACTTTGTGTTGATTTTTATACATTACGTCTATTACTTACGATGAACACGTTAAAAATGGAACTATAGCTTCAGGGCCAAAAGCAAGAGAGAGAGAGAGAGAGAGAGTGATAAAGATGCAAGGAAAGGCAGGGAGGTTAACCAGACGCACATCCGGTTTGCTACCCTGCACTGGGGAAGGGATAAAGGGGAGAAAAGAGGTTGCAGAGAGATGAGAAGGTTACAGCGGGCAGAAACAAGGCCTAACTATAGCAACTGTGAAGTGGGCCAAAAGCAGAATCACGATAGTAATTACCGCCCAAAAGGAATGCGTAATACCAAAGTACGCGCGGCAGTAACAGCCAGTGAATTGCCATCCACGGTCAAGCGAAGGCATGCCGTGACATATCGCCGTTTCACTGCCGAATACGACGTATCAATTCGCATCGCACGCATCACCTCGCGTCCCGAGTGCTGGAACGCCACAGTGCGATGATGCCGAATCGCGCATGCAGAGACACGGGATAAAAAACGATGTCGTAGTGAAAGGAGGCGGAGAAGAAGGGGGAGACAGCACAGCCATATACTCGACAGCAACTCATCGCAATTACGCATTCCGCTGGTATACGTGAGCAACGCGATCCAGGCAGCCGCGCTATACGAGGGCCAGCTTGTAGTGAGGCACACAGGGTGAAAGAGAGACAGAGAGTGCGTCATTAAACGCCGCTAATTGCGGAAGACCCCCGGAATGAGTGGGGCAAAATGAGCGTGCGCCTAAGGCGCCGGCGTGAAAGGGACGAGCTTGTTCCGTGCTGTCCGTCAACCCTTCCCCTCCCCCCGGATCAGCTTCGTACGAGAGGAAGCGCTTGATGCAGCATAGTTCAACTTTATTTATTTATTATTTATTTATTTATTTATTTATTTATCTATTTATTTATTTATTTATTTATTTATTTATTTATTTATATTCACGCAATAGCTCTTATATCATAGTGGTTTCCGTAGAGCTCCGGAAGCCTCTGCGAAGCGGCTACTCAATGGAGACGATATGCAGGGTGGAGCTATCCGCAGTTTGGCAATTAAAGATGGCCCGAAGAGCGCGAGACAAGTGCCACGTGGATAGGATATACGCATGCCAATGCGGTGCGAAAGGGACCAAAAAAAAAAGAAAAGAAAAACGGAGCGTGGGT